TTTTCTTCCACTAGAGAGTCATCTGGTGTTTTATTTTGGACACCTACTGGAACCATCCTGTCCTGTTTTTGTAAATGTTTTGATATTGTCTGCTGTCTTCGGGACATTCAGTAGTTATTTTCTTTGTTTATTGATTGTAGAGCTGTTTGTTTCACCCTGCTTTTTTGTTTTATTTGGCTATGCCTGAGCAGGCGGGCTGTGCATTCTTTGTTGTTTGCTTGTCTGTGGACATGATATTTTTCACTTCTTTTTCCAATGGGCAGAGCCAGTTGCTCAGGTATGGTGCAGCAGGGCAGGTCCAGCTGAAGGGGAGGGGTTGGGATGGGTTGTTTGTAGCACGTACTTGGGCTGACAAGATGAGCCAGTGGTCAGTGCAGGGCAGGTTCCGGTAGGTCGTGCCTGTGCTGCTCAGGAGTGCAATGTTCAGCACATGGTGCAGATAGGCAGGAGGGAAGGGAAGGGGGAGGTTGGGAGCACAGTTCTATTCTGCTGCACATCCCATCACCATCATTTGGAGTTGACTCAATGGCAGCTGGTTTACTGGTTATGATCAAGAAATTTGGGAAATGTAGGGTTAGGGCATCTCCAATTTAAAAGTTCACAGTAAATCAAATACCTGAGAAGTGAAGTAATGGGTGGGCAGTGGTGATGGTGATTGAAATAGATCCACCATTGTTAGCCACTAATAGTGTAGTGCAATGTTCCTCAAATTTTACTTTATAAAAGAATTACTGCATAAGTTTGTTCAAAATGGGTATTCCAGCAACTTCTCCTGCCCCATCCCTATCTGACTCTGAGATTCTTATTTAGTAGATTTGGAAGTAAGCTGGGATATCTATATTTTAAAATAACCATGGGAGATGATTCTGATGTAAGTGGTTCTCAGGCCTTATCTGAAAAACATGAGCTCGTTTTCAATCTATTTCTTAGATTGCAGTCAGTCAGAGAGGAGTCTTGAAAATGTGGGACTCGAGATAGATAAGTTTTCATGGAGTTCAAGGGAAAGGTGTATCTAGCACATGCCTTGGCAAGATGGCGTTGCATGGCTCTGACAAGTTCCCTTGACATATCACATGTTTTGGGAACAAAAAAAAGAAAAAAAGAAAAAGTTGTCTATAGAGTCTATTCAACTTATGGCAGCCACATGTGTTTTCAGAATAGAACTGTGCTCCATAGGGTTTTCGATGGCTGATTTTTCAGAAGTTGATTGCCAGGCCTTTCTTCTGAGGCACCTCTGGGTAGATTCAAACCACCAATCTTTCAGTTAGTAGCTGAGTGATTAAGCGTTTGCACCACCCAGGGACTCGCGTTCTGAGACAAGAATGTGTAAATCTTAGAACTTGAAGATTTTCATATTTCAAGAAAATTAGAATGGATAGCTATGCCCAGGTAATTGAGGATTGACTGAAATGTGTTTTCTCTCCTTTATTTGCAGAAGAAGCTATGAAATCGGCTATGAAGCGACAAGAAAATGTTAACAACACACAAAAGCAGGCAGTGGCAGCCAAGATGAGTGAGACAAAGCACAAATTCCACAAGAAACTCTTCCCAAACTCACAGCTTTTTAAGCAGTGGGGTGAGGGGCTTTCTGAGGCCCAACAGAAAAAGACCCAAGACCTCTTCCAGAAGTTTGGTTACAACGTTTACCTCAGTAACGAGTAGCCCCTCAATCACACCATCCTAGACACACGAGATTCCAGGTGGGCTGGGTGTCTCAACTCACCAGGACCTTAGTCTGATTTGAGATGAATTTCAGGAGTTATCAATGTCAAGCGTTAGAAAGAAGTTTGAGGGAGGAGAAGGTTGATGGGAAAGGGTTTAAGACATAGAAAATTCTGGCAGGCTGACTGAGCAGAGTTCTTGATTTTAATCCATTTTGTAATGGCAGCTCAGAAGATAACTGCTTGCTCCAAATATTTACAGTCCCTTGGAGATAAGCAGAGATGTCAGAAAAACAGACATCCATGAGAATTCTGATACCATCGGGTCTAACTCATAATTTTACACGTGAGGAAACCGAGGCCACAAAAGAGATAGGACTTGTGCGAGTCACACCAAAGTTACAGCTCTACCACCTACCCTAGTGTTTTTCTCAAATTCTCTGCTTGGATTCCTCTTTGAAGTTGAATCCAATTTAATGAACCCTCTCTCTTTCCCCTTTATTTCTCTCTTTCTGCCTCTCCCTCCTTTCTTTATACTTTTTTTTTCTACAACAGCTTTGTTAAGATATAAATTCACATGTAATACAATTCACCCATTTAAAGTGTACAATTCAATGTTTTTTAGTATATTCATAGACATGTGCAACCATCAGCACAATCAATTTTAGAATATTTTTATCACTCAAAGAGAAACTCCACACGCTTTAGCAGTCACTCCCCACCTCCCCCAAACCCCTTCAGCCTCAGGCAGCCACTAATCTACTTTCTGTCCCTAAGTATTTGCCTACTCAGAACATTTCATATAACTGGAATCATATAATATGTGGTCTTTTGTGACTGACTTCTTTTACTTAGCATAATGTTTTCTAAGGTCATTTGTTTTATAACATGTATCACTACTTCATTCCTTTTTATGATCAAATAATATTCTATTATATGGATATCACACATATTGTTCACCAATTCATCAGTTGATAAACGTTTGGATTGTTTCCACTTTTGGCCATTATGAATAATGCTGCTATGAACAATGGTCTACAAATTTTTGTGTGGACATGTGTTTTCACTTCTATTTGGTACACCTTAGTTGTGGAATTGCTGGGTCATATGATAACTCTATGTTTAACCTACAGAGGAACTGCTAAACTGTTTTCCAAAGTGACTGCATCATTTTACTTTCCCTCCAGCAGTGTATGAAGCCACACCATCCACAGCATTTGTTATTATCTTTTTTATTATAGCCAACCTCCATATCTCTTACATCCATTTCCCTATAACTTCCTCCCAGGAAGACGCAGTGTTCCAGATATGCTGAAGAATATTACAGTTCTTCCAGAAATCACATAATATTACTGTACCCCCATCTGTTGTAGCAATTGCTTGATGCCTCTTATTTAATTTGATTATCTAATTGCATTGGCTACAACCTCCAGTATAATGTGGAATAGAAGTGGTGAGAGAGGACATCCTTGTCTTGTTCCTCATTATAGAGGGAAAGCATTCAATAATTCACCATTAAATATGATTTTGGCTGTGGCTTTTTCATAGATGCTCTTTACCAGAAATTCCCTTCTATTCCATATTTCTTGAGTGTTTTTCGTATGGTGAAGGGATGTTACATTTTGTCAAATACTTTTTCTGCCTCTATTGAGATGATCATGTGGTTTTTGTCCGTTGTGTGTTGATAAGGAATATTACATTAGTTGATTTTCACATGTTAAACCAGCCTTGAATTCCTGACACAAATCACACATAGTCATAGCGTATAATCCCTTTTACATGTTGCTGGATTTGGATTGCTAGTATTTTTTTGAGAATTTGTTGTGTCTATATTCGTAACATTTTCACTGACTAGATTTTTTCAGAAGTAGACCACCAGGTCCTACTTCCTAGTCTGTCTTAGTCTGGAAGCTC